AAAAAAAAAAAAAAAAAAAAAAAAAAAGAAAAAAATATCCTCAGGTAAGGATTAACAAAAAAAACAACAACAACAAAATAATTTTCCCCCTCATTTTTCTCATAAAAAATTCTCATACAGGAGGTTAGCTCACACCTACCATTGCAAGCTAGAGACATTTGGGACATTCTATTTCCAGTGCTGCAGAATAGAAAATATATATCTATTACCATTCTTAATGAGACTAGATCTAGAGGAGAAATTGTGATTTTCCACAGGAATTTCTAAGTACATGTAACTACTGTCTACATACTGTAACTCTTACATATCATATTCTAAGTAGGTATAGCTCTTTACATTTAAAAAAAAAAGTTTCCTTGTGCAGCATGCTCACTAAATGTTCATAGTTTTTTGCTTCGCCTTTTATTTTTCTGACCTTCCCATAAATTTACATTTTCTGAGCAGAAATCGCCCACCCTAGTATGATGACAGGAACTGAGATGGGGAAGCAGGTTTCTTCCTCTGTAGCTCAGTGTTCAGCCACTGTGCACACTACGCAGCACTGTGTTATAGCTGCTGTGTTACACATGCAGGCTGACTCTGAATCCCACAGCAAACCCTGGCTGTGTGACATTTAGCAAATTACTTAATCTTTCTGTGCTTTCGTCTCCTCCTCAATAAAATGGTCTAATGGTGGTTGGTGCCTACCTCACAAGTGCGTTGAATTTTAAATGAGAGAAATGCAGATACGTTGCATGACATACATAGGTACAGTTTAGTTATCATCACTTTAGAGCACAAAAAAGGTATGCTATTTTACTCACTTTTAGAATTTAAAATAATTCCCCACACATCCTGGGGTCTTACATAATTTGAACATGCAACACACTTTTCTTGAATTTGATCCTGTAATAATGTGAGGTACCAAATGTTAAATGCTTGCTAACGTGCCAATCTTTGTTTTTCCTTTACATTGAGTTTTAAAAGAAAGTAACAGACTAGGAAGAGATACATTTCTTAAATCCACTATGATTTTTTTTTTCTTCAGGCATTTTTGGGCAGAAACTGGAAGATACTGTCCGTTATGAGAAGAGATACGGGAACCGCCTGGCTCCCATGTTGGTGGAGCAGTGCGTGGACTTCATCCGACAGAGGGGGCTGAGAGAAGAGGGTCTCTTCCGACTGCCAGGCCAGGCCAACCTGGTGAAGGAGCTCCAGGATGCCTTTGACTGCGGAGAGAAGCCGTCGTTTGACAGGTAGAGTTTAAGACTTTCCGAAGCGTCCTTCACTGAGAAACTCAGTCTGAACCGAAAGGATACAGTGAGCCAAGATGCTGTAATTGATGCTCTCACAGTTTAGGTGATGAATTACCTGGTCACACAAATAGGGATTGTTTTTATTAAGTTGCACAGTCAAAGATTTGATGCTTTAGATGTCTGTTCTCTTCTATCCTTTTTTAACTCCTTAAACATTTTTTAAAAATATGTTTTTATTGATTTTAGAGAGAGAGAAAGGGAGATGGAGAAACAGAGAAACACTGATGTGAGAGAAACATCGATCAGTTGCCTCCTGTAGCACCCCAACCAGGACTGAACCCATAACCCCGGCATGGGTCCTGACTGGAAATCGAACCAGCAACCTTTCGGTACACAGATGACACCCGACCAACTGAGCCACACTAGCCAGGGCCTACCTTAAAAACATTTTTATTTATTATTTTTCTTTGGTTCTAAATTAAGACTGTATTTAACATCAGAAAAATGAACTTTTAAAATAGAAGTTTTCTCTTGTTTGATTTTTTTTTAATGCTTTCAGCTAAGGGATGTTAAAAATATTGATGATTAGGACATCAGCAATGTAATTAAAAATAACTACTTGTTATATAATAATAAAAGCATTATATTTTAAATATATATATACCTCCAAATTAATCTAGAATAAATTTACAAAGAAACAAGAAGTATAACATGGTGAAATTCAGGAAATGATGGAAGTTCCAGAGAAGAACATATACAGGGAGTTAAGAGTCAAGCACTGTTAATGTTTTATGAATTACCTCCTTTTCTTAATTTAGCAGAAAAAAATAACTTTTATCCTAGTATTGTTAATTTAACATTGTGTAGCAGAAATTTTCCATATTAATAATTGAAAAATGTCCTTTATTTCAATATATTTTAACTTAATATTCTATCCTTGGCAACTGTAGTAAGCATAATTTTTAATATCTAAAGCTTCACTCTACAGGCATATGTTCATAACAATATCAGTATTGTTGAACATTTTTGTTGAGACTTTTTTCACTATTATAAATAATGTAGTGGGTATATGTACGCATAAATATTTTCCATTTTGGATTCTTTCTTTAGGAGAGTTTCTCAGTATTGGACTTTGTGGATAGAATAGTCTTGGTAGTCAGTGCTGGCAAGATATGCTGAGATAGGCACCCGGTGGTAAGAGTGCAAATTATTATAGTCTTTGTAAAGAAATTTGGACATATTTTAAGACCCTTTAAGCAGGAAGTTCCAGTCCTAAAAAAATATTAGGTATGTGGGAAAGAACTTAAGTGATAAGTAGCTTATTATAATTTTTATAATAGTAAAGAATGAACACCAATCTATTACCTCCAACAGTAGAGTATGGTAGTGCACTTACATAACAAAATAATGTACAGTTATTAAAATTTTAGGAAAATATGAATTTATATAATAATAAATGGAAATAATAAATAGAAAAACAAGGCAGAATCAATTAATTGATTAAATCCTATCTATTTACAAAGGTAGTACAAGAAGTTTATGAAGATTCGTAAGTTTTCTCCAAGAGAAAAAAATTAAATATAGAGGTAGCAAAATGAATTTAAAACTAGGGTCAGCGTGCCAGGTGGGTACTGGGAATATCAGGGGGATCACTTTGTAAAACATATGACTGTGTAACCATTCTGCTGTACACCTGAAACTCATACAAAATAATATTCTTGGTAATTGTTCCTTCCGTGGTGATTGTTCTTTGTTTAGCCCTGTGGAGTTTTACCCTCCGTATGCTCACTTAGTATTTAGACCAAAGACTTGGTATTTTGACCAAAGATTCAAGAAGACCTATAAGTAGATTTCAAAAACAATTTATTTTTTTTTTTGCAAAGTTTCCTCCAGCTGCTTCTACCTCCTCAAACTACAGCTCCTGTCTCCTTAGCTCAGGGAGACCACTGTTCTTTTCAAGCCCTTGTCCCTACTCCAGGGTCTGGGAGATGCCTCTGCGTGCAAGGCCGAAGTAATCAGTAGACTTAACCTCATTAAATTCCATACTCTCAGAGGTCACATTTTTGTACTCTTTGTTGTCCAACATCTTAAAAACAGTTATTTCATATAGTTAGTTTTCTCATTTTTTAGTAAAAAACTGACACCTGTTATTCTGTAAAGGCTGTGAGCAGATTCTCTCCTCAGCAGCTGGGAAATCCTGCTGGACACATGTTGTCAGGGCCGCTCCCCTGGGGCTGGGAGATCTTCCTAGTGAGGGCTTGATGTAGCCTCTGGTTCTTCCTTATGAGACTTCTTTCCTTTTCTGTAAAAAATAGCCCTTATTTCTAGTTGAGTAGCTTCTCAGCCTATTTACTGTCCATAAAAAGTTGAAAGTCCTAAGTTTCTTTTCATTTTGAGCTGATACTATCTTTTTTATTCCAAGTTCCTTTAAAAACCTTGGTTTTTATCATCTGAATTATAACCCACTTGCTGAGACAAAGTCACACCCATTCATCTCCGTGTCAGGCCCTTCCATGTTCAGTCTATGAGTCAGGTTGCTATAGAATAATCTCATGATTCTTCTAAATCCTTTCATATTGCTGAGAGAATCTATGAGGTGCTGCTTTAATTCTTCTAGAGTTTTTAACAAGGGGTTTTGCAGCCACACCCATCATAAAATTAAAAAAGTCTTTGCCTTCAGGTTATGTTTTACTACTGGGGCCACTATAGTTTCTCTAAATTTTTCTCCAAAGTTGAACAGTTCCTTCTTTAGCCTCATCAGGAACATTTGCTCTGTTCTGAGTTACTGGAGTTAATAGTCTTGCTGATTTTTCTACCACTGCTTTATAAGCAGTTACGTTTTTCTAGCCTCTAATAACAATTTTCTCATTGCTCTTCCAGTTCTTACTAATAGTCTCCTCACTGACTGTCCAGACTCTCTCTAGTTCCAAAGCCAATACATGTATTTTCAGTTTTTGTTGTAGCAGCACCCAATTTCTGGTACCAGTGACTATTTCATGCATCTGTTGCTGCATAGGAAACCGCTCCAAATTCTTCTGGTTAAAAAAACAACCACCTTTTCAGATTCTGCCTTTGGGCATTACTTGGCAGACACACCTTGCCTCTTTCATGGTGTTTGTTGCCGGGATCCAGTGCAGCTGCAGTATCTAAGGGAGCTTCATTCAAAGTCTGGAACCTAAACTGGGCAGGCTAAGCGACTGATGGCTGCTTGAGCTTCTCTCTTCCTCTGTGCACGCTTGTATCCTTCAGGGCTTCTCTCTTTAGCCGGTTGTTGGGACTCTTCAAGGAGTACCTCAGTACTCAAAGACAAGAGTGGAAGCTACAAGGCCTATTCAGGGCTAGGCCCGGAACTGCACAATGTCAGGTTCACGGATTACCAACCGTCAACAGCAAAGCATCAGGCCGGCTCAGATGAAAAGATATTGAAAGCCAATCCTTCTTGAGGGAAGGAGTGGCATACACGTATAAGGATGAAAAAGTTGACAGTCACCATCTATCTCATTCATTCCTTCAGCAAATGATTTTGGAGTGTTTACTATGTCTTAGATGTTATTCTAGGTGAAAAAGACAGACAAGGTCCATTCTTTTGTGGAGTTTGTACTACTGTTGATGAGCAGGTAAACAATAAGCAGTCAATATATCAATAATTGCAAAGAGTGGTAAGGGTTGATGTGCTAATATGTTAGTAAGGGAAGTGGGGGAGATATACGCATCTCTTTCCTGGGGATATAAGATTTGGGTGTAGCTTGAATGATAAGAAATGCGCCCTGCCTAACATACGGGGAGAGCACACTATAGGTAGAATAGCAAGAACAAAGGCCTTGAGAGAGGCAAACTTAGCTTGTTTGAAGATTGTAACACCTTTGTGGCTGAAATACAGTAAGCAATGAGTAGAGTCCTCAGAGATGAGATTAAAGAAGCTGATCCTGTGCAGTCCGATAACTTATAAGAAATTTACTTTTTGTTCTAGGTGAAATGGAAATCTATAGAAAGATTTTTAATAAGTAAGTGAAATAATTTTCTTTACACGTTTAAAAAGGATCACTTTATAAAGGAAAACTAAATAACAAAAGACTTTCCTTTCGCCTTTATCACCCAGAACTAATGCAAGAACTGAGAATAAAAACCCAATACTATAACCAAAAAAAATGCTTCCATTACTCTTATCAGTTAGGAAATTATAAGGGATTTAGGAGCTCTGGCTAGGAGTTTGGGATAAAAACCAAAATATATACACGTTTCTTGTCATATCACAGTATCATGCCCTGGCAATCTGAATGTCTTTGTTTTGATAAATAGATTGTCAAGTTTGAGTCTCTCAGTCATAGGGAGGCAGATATGCAATTTATTGGATTCCGCTGATTAAATAAAAAGGATTCCCAGATCCCTGAACAGTGAAATAAAAAGACGAGAGTAACATATTTGTGGCCAAATATAATTGTAAACTGTACTGGTAAGGGAATAAATAATCTGTAATTTCCTAAGGAGAGTGAGATTATTTTCAGAAACATATCCAAGTAGAGTATTTCACTTTTTTAGTTAATTGGCTGAGTTTGACATTTTGCATGACCAAGTCCTAGTTCGGGTTTCTGTTTTCGGGATGTGAAGACAAACTGCCTGGGAACATTTGCTAGTTCAAGTTAATCTCACCAGTGTTCAAGATCGGAATGACTTTTTAAAAAAGCAAGTTAAAAATACAGACTGTGCATAATGTTTTGAATGGATATTAAGGTTTAAAGCACAGTACAGAAATTTTTTATTGTGAAATAGGTTAAAGAGCAAGAATAAATATTTTTGTTCTATATTTCTAATAATGATTACATGTCACTAGAGTCAACAGGGGTTAGCTTTCATCTTTTATTTATTAAAATCTGAAAAAACATTCTCACAGGAATTCTGCAACAATAATCTCTAATTTTAATAGTGAGGCTGACTATTATTATAGCTCTAATATTAAGGCTTAAAATTTGATTTTTAAAGTCAACTTTTAAAAAAATTAT